CAGGATTGTTTCAATTCTTGGTGGATCTCTATACATCATTCAGAAAACAAGTGTAGGTATACTATTCTACAACAACAACAACCAATACTCACAAGATCTAAGTTAAGAAAAGAGATCTATGTGGTTCTCTTGGTGTGAACTTCTGTTTCCTACTTGGATCTCTCGTGGTACACAAAATACACTAACTTAATGTCAAATAGCATCTAAAAACGATTTGGGTTTTGTGTAAATACATGTTATGTATTGGACAGTATCCACTTTTTGGGAATTCTTCGTAAGTGGCTACCTCCAAGAGCCATCTCCTTCATCTCCTCGATTATCTGCAAATGTGTAAAATCTTTGAGTCCCTCTGTGTGAAACTCCAACCAAAAATCGACATAGATTAGCCAAAGTAAACCTCTTATCATTTATTAGATCTTTTCTTCGGATATGACGATCATCTTTACAACAAAGATGACGACCACCACTGCCAAATAGCTTGTTTCATCGACCACCACCGCCAAATAGCTTGCTTCATCGACCACCACCGCCTACAGATTCTCCGATCAAAAGATTTGATATCTATAGACTATTTAAATGATTCCAAATCAAATGACCCATTTTTGCTTTGATTCGACCCATTACTCGTAAGACGGCGATCGAGAGACAAGAGTGGAGATGAAGAATTGAGAGTGTTTTTTTGAGTCTCGTGATCGAGGTTGAGGGAAAAAAAAAGACTGAACAACGATTTTTGACTAGCAACTTACTCTATTTTTGGTATTAGAAAAAAGAAAAGAAAAACAGGAGTGGCTTACTCGTAATTTAACTAGCGATTTAGTCTTTTCTTTTGGGTCAATTACAAAAATGTCACTTTTTATGTGCATATTTGCAAGAATGCCACTTAAGGGTGTCCATTTACAAAAATGCCACTAATTATAGATTTATAAAACATATATCTTAAAATTCTAAACCCTAAAAAATGTTTTGACATCTAAAACCCCATAAACACTCAAAACTAAACCCTAATAGAACATAATTAACCCAAACATAAATAATATAAAAAAAAACAATTTTTAAAAAGTGGCATTTTTGTAAAGATTTTAAAAGTGTGGCATTTTTGTAAAGTGGCACTTGAAAAATGGCATTTTTTGAAATTTCTCTTTTCTTTTTTTAATTTCAAAATGTTTTGACCTATTTCTCTAATTTACGATCAAACTTAGCCTATTTGATTTATGAGATAACTAGGTAGAAAACAACAAATTATTACGATATTAAGAGAATGACAAGGAGAATATCGAAATTCATGTGCACAGTAGTTTTTAACGGACAAAGACATATATAACCTTTATATCAAATAAACTTTGCAATTGAAACTCGTGATGAAATCTTTTAGCCTGCACAAAATATATTATAGCTCACTGTTTTACGTATAGCTGTCAGGCGGCGCCATAAACTGCCATGATCTCGATATGTGAAGAGCAATAGATACATCTATATGCCATTGATATATTTTACAATAACATATAGATTGTTCTCTATATAAACATATATCCGCCGAGTTAATAATCTCCAGAACCAGCCAAACAAAAATCAAAAACAGATTTCTGATCAACCAACAAAAGGAATATATTGAAGACGGCCAACAAACTTGTTTAAGGCTAGTCCAGACCTCTACTTTCGTATTTTAATTATTGTTGTTTTTGAAACCCTGATTTTTCTTTTGCTTTTACAGTGATCCTTATGTGTTTGTATTTACAAATCTAGGTTCGATGGCTCTTTTTGTCCGTCTACTAAGAGGAAACTGGACCATTGGTCCATACGGCCGATGGGAATTTCAAAGTGAAAGATCCGATATAGGTTACGGTGCAAACCTACGGGGAGATGAAAGCTATGAAGATTTGTTTCAGGTGTTTATGCCTAGTACTATAAATTATAACAAGAAG